AAGGGGAAAAGGAGAAATCATCAGGAAGGACATCAAAAGTAAAGGTTATAATTGGTTAAATGATGGTGTTTGTTTCCAATTCTTCATTTAAACCGTGGGGGGACAGCATATTTAGTTTGAAGATCCAGTATGTTTCTTGTTTGCACAGGCGGCGGAATCTTTCAGCTGATGATAATTTCTCCGATATGTGTTCTATTGCAAAGACTTTCAAGTGGGCTGGGTTTTTTTGGTGTTTTAGGAGAAAGTGGCGAGGAACGCTGTGTTCAGTACAGCCATCCTCAATGAACCTCCTATGTTCCCCGATTCGCTTGCGGAGGGGGCGGATTGTGCGACCTATGTAGAATAGATTACAGGGGCATTGTAGGCAATGAGGCCAACCTTTTCTTGCATTTTTGTTTGCTGTACAATTTACACATTTACTTTGCTAATAATAATATTTACTATTGTTTGAAGATGATGCATTTTTACAATGTTTTTTTCCATGGTATAGCTATGTTTTAGCCATCATTAAGGAAGAACTCTGGAAAACGCTATTTACATCTACAATCTCATCTTAATAAAGCCAAAGGCAGTTTCAGAGAAACAATACTTCCTGTGTAAAAATCCCGCTTGCAGATGTTTCCTGGAAGGTGTCTCTATAACACCGGAGGGTTTGTTCAGCTCTAACTCTATTCTTGAAGGGACAGTGCCATGTGAGATAAATGAAGGCTGACACTATCCCAGATAGCAAGAAATTGTGCTGCAAGTTTTAAAATGACTTGCTAAACTCTTGCGGACTTGCCAAGCTTCACAATTTTGTTGCACAATTACAGCAAGTCTGCATTGCAAGTCTCCAGACCAGCAAGCTTGCAGAGCTCTTGCTAGGACCTGCAGAACTCTTGCTGTAGACTTGCCAAGCAAATTTGCTACAAATTCAAAAAGTGTCAACTAGAACTTGTGCTGCAAGTGTTCTGCAAGTCTACAACTTGCCACGAACGTGTGCAGCAAGTTAACACAATTACAATTTCACCCTGACACAAGTTTGTGGCAAGTTATCCTTGCTATCTGGGATTGTACACTCCTTTAAGAATACTAGTTCTCTGGCTGCTGTGTGACCTGATGCTTTGACTTCAATGCTATCTGAGTTCCTGACCCAGAACAGGTAGAGAGTTAAGTAGTTCTAACACTTTTCTCACACACATCTACAGCATGCTTGTTCTGGGACTGTGACTGAAACATAATGCAGTCATATGTCCATAACCCATCACACTCCTAACCGGAACCCAACCCCAATAATTATATTATTGGGTGCAGCAGTGGAAGCGGATCTCGCCGCCAGTCAATAAAAAAGTAGAAACCACTGGGCACTCCAAAATTCCAGGTGTCAAATCTTCTTTATTGACATGATCAAGATGGTCTCACAGTGTATGGCTGTGATATGGCTATTTGCCATATAAAGTGAGACCACCTTGATCATGTCAAAAAAGAATATTTGAGGCAAGGAATTTGGAGTTCTAGTGGTTTCTACTTCTTTATGAAACATACTGCAGTCAGACAAAGTCAGACCTAGCATTTTTAGGATGCCTGCAATGGCAGCGCCAATACTTCTCTAATGACAGAGTAACTTTAACTGTACTATTGTAAAGCTCTGCATACTACTGTGACAAAATGCTTGGGCACCCCTGGTCAAATGT